TCCACTGTTTTGCAGTGGGAGATGGAAGCTCTAAACCAAGGCTACTTTTGTCTTAATACTCGTAGGTTCACTAAAAAATTAAATTGAGGCTTTATAAAATTTACAGGATTAGAAACTCTTCCAAGAGTAGTCTTTCACAACCTTCAGTGTTTAGTTCATTGATCAGTATATATTAAAACATGTTGCACCATGTCAAATATACCTTCATAAAAAAGTCAAACGCTGGGCACTGTACTTGTCACACACAGGCATTTATTGAAACTAAGATTTCCTTCCACCTAGGAGGTTAACAAATCAGAAGTGATATATTTGTTTTCCATTCCCCCAGGCAAGCAACCTGCTGTGCTCCTGCTTCTTTCCTCCATTCTTGGCCAATTTCATGACCCTGTTGGGCTTTATACATTCTGCTGAGCAGTTTTAAGTCCTTTCTGCCACAAGGTGTGGTTCTAAATGAATTATTCAGTTGCCAAATAATGCCATTCAAGTAGTTCATGATGCAGGTTCATGACTTTTGGTGTAGCATAATTTCCATTCTAAGTACTGTTTCCAGTCAATAGTAACCCATGCTTCATTTTGACATTCAGTGCTTTGAACTGATAAGCCTATTAAACCAAGTATTTCAAAACCAGGTGTAATTTAGCAAAGTAGTAAAAAAAATTAATAAAACTAAAGAAACCAATTAACCAAGAAACAGTAACAAACTTTTATGGCAGTTTTTTTTTAAGAGGTAGCATTTCATACCTAAAAGTATGCTTACCTAAAAGTATGCCTTGCATTATAATTTAACAGAAAAGCTTACGTTAAAACTAGTTTTAGGGGCTGGCACTGTGGTGAAGTGGGCTAAGCCTCCACCTGTGGCGCCAGTATCCTCTATGGGTGCTGGATGGTATCCTGGCTGTTCTGCTTCCAATCCAGCTCTCTGCTATGGCCTAGGAAAGCAGTAGAAGATGGCCCAAGTGCTTGGACTCCTGCACCCACATGGGAGACCAGGAAGAAGCTCCTTCCTCCTGGCTTCAGATTGGCCCAGCTCCAGCTGTTTCAGCCACTTGGGGAGTGAACCAGCAGATGGAAGACCTCTTTCTGTCTCTACCTCTCTGTCTGTAACTCTACCTCGCAAGTAAATAATTCTGTCCTTTAAAAATTAGTTTTGGTCAACTGAAAAATTAGATCTTTCACAATTTCAACCACTTCGTTTTTATTTTAAAATTTTTAAAGATTTATTTGAAAGGCAGTTTCAAAAAACAGATCTTCCATCTGCTTCCATCTGTCAGCAAAAACTGACCTCACTGATATTATCAATTCAATGTGTCCCCTTCATAATTCCCATAGTCACTGGACAGTGTTAACGGGGCTCATTAGGAGCCAGCATTGTGGTGCACAGTTAAGTGGCTGCTTGTGATGTCAGCTGCTCCACTTCCAATCCAGCTTCTTGGGAAAAGCAGCAGATAATGGCCCAAGTGCATGGGCTGGCTGGCACGGCAGTTGGAATGCTCTGATGAAGCCTCTACTCCACACTGGAATGCCTGGGTTGAGTCTTGGCTTCACTTCAAATTCCAGCTTTCAGCTAATGCACACCCTGGCCCAGCCCCAGCTTTAAGGGTATTTGGGGAGTGAAGCAGTGGATGAGATACCTCTGGATGCCTACCTTTTAGATTAAAAAAATTTAATAATTAAATTATTTAATGTGGTGTAGTGGGTAAAGCCACTGCCTACAGAGCCAGCATCCCATATGGGCATGGGTTGGAGACCCAGCTGCCCCACTTCTGATCCAGCTCTCTGCTGTGGCCTGGGAAAGCAGAAGATGGCCCAAGACCTTGGGCCTTTGCACTCGCATGGGAAGACATGGAGGAAGCTCCTGGCTCCTGGCTTCGGATGGGCTCAGCTCCAGTCGTTGCAGCCAATTGGAGGAGTGAACCAGTGGATGAAAGATCTCTCTCTCCTCTGCCTCTCCTTCTCTAACTCTTTCAAATAAATCTTTTTAAAAATTAATTTAAAAACAGTGGAGTTTGCTGCAGTGACTAAGATGTCTCTTGGGATGCCCACATCCTGTTTCAGAGCGCCTGGTTTTTGAGTCCCAGCTCTGTTTCTGTTTTCAGCCTTTGCTATTGTACACCCAGGGAGGCATTCCAGTCACCCCATGGGAGACCTGAAGTTCTGGGCTCCCAGCTTCCGCCTGGCCCAGACACAGCCGTTGCAGGCAATTGAACTAGCAGGGTGAACCAACAAATGGAATATTTCAATCTGTCTCTCAAAGAAATAAAATTAAAAATATAAAATGATACAGGAAATAATAAGAACTCTATCACAAGACCAATATGATGATTGTGGCTAGCACAAGATCACATTGTAACAAAGTGAAGATTTAACAGTATCTAAAAATGACTAAGGACTATAAGCTATCAGACTTTGTGTCAGCATAGTTACTTAATGAAGGAAAATGTGTTCTTAGAAACAATCCTTAAATATAGTGGAATTTATTGAGGATCTGCCATATTTTAGCAATCATCCAGAGCAGTGCAGTTCTAAGTAGGTGTACAAACTTGGGCTTACTAAATGCAGCATCTGAAGTCTAACCTTGCAAAGCAGGCACAAATGAACATTATCGAAACATAAGAGCAAAACTACTAGTTACTATGGGGATAGAAATACCTAGCACATCTCTGTTTAAGCTCTCTGTGCTTCCGTTTTCTTCACTCAAGCATCTCTTATGTTAGATGGCAAAAATAATTTAGAAGAGTGAGGACAATGGGGAAAGGTAGGTTTGTGGATATAAGTCATACCTGGATAGGAGTCAGAAGTTGTGGGGTTCCATTGCAGAGCAGGGTGACTACAGAAAATGTTCATGAAATATGTATTTCTATTAAAAAAAAAAAACTAGAAGATACAGTTTTGGATGTTTTCGCCAGAAACAAATATTAAATGTTTGAGTAGCTATGTGTAATGTACTGAGATTGGACTGTATACAATATATCTGTGTACTTAAGTATCACATAGTATCTCATCAGTGTGGACTATAAAGTACACAATTCAAAATAATATAACTTATGGTTCAGTAGGATGTTATGTGTTTGACCTGAGAGTGATATTGCCATTATTGCTCTGTGTTCTGTGGGATTTCCCAGCAAACAACCCGCTGGCTAAATTCAATGGATAGCCCCTTTACTTCCACCTAAATAAAGTCAAATGGAACTGCCATTCAAGATTGCATAGAATGCACAAGCCCCAACCTGAAACCAACAGAACTGTTCCACAATCTAATCAACATACCAACTGTGCCACTCAAGCTCCACTTATTATACACCAAACACATTTTTGGAAAATACCATTATTTTAAATGTCTTTAAACCTAATAGCTAACAGTCTTTTTTATATTTGGGACCTTTACAATCATCTGTGTGGAGCTGTGTTGTGGTGCAGTGAGCAATACTGCCAGCCCATATCAAAGTGCCATTCAACTCCTGGCTATTCCACTTCCAGTCCAGCTCCCTGATAAGGTGCCTGGGAAAGCAATGGAAGATAGCCCAAGTGCTTGGGCCTGTCACCCATGTGGGAGATGCCAAGATGGAATTCCTGGTTCTTGCAGCCATTTGGGGAGTGATCCAGCAGATGGATAATTTCTCTCTCTCTGATGGTTCTGCCTTTCAAATAAGTAAATTAATCTTTGAACACAATAAAATAAAATAACCTGTGTGGGGTGGATTTTGGGAGTACCTGGGTTTGCACTTCATATGGGTTTACTAAAAGTAGGTACCTGGGTTTGTTAAGAAGCCACAGCCCAGGAGCCAGTGCTATGGCACAGTGGGTTAACGCCCTGGCCTGAAGCGCCGGCATTCCATATGGGCACCAGTCGAGTCCCGGCTGCTCCTCTTCCGATCCAGTTCTGCTATGGCCTGGGATAGCAGTAGAAGATGGCCCAAGTCCTTGGGACCCTGGACCTGTGTGGGAGACCCAGAAGCAGCTCCTGGCTTCGGATTGGCGCAGCTCCGGCCATTGCAACCATCTGGGGAGTGAACCAGTAGATGGAAGACCTCTCTCTGTCTCTACCTCTCTGTGCAACTCTTTCAGATAAATAAATCTTAAAAAAAAAAAGAAGAAGAAGAAGAAGAAGAAGCCACAGCCCACACTGGGAGTACCTTGTTTTGAATCTTACTCTACTCCTGAATCCAACTTCCTGTACACCCTGGGAAGAAGGAGACAGAGCAAAGTGGTTGAGCTCCTGCCACTACATGGGAGACCTTAATTGAGTTCCCAGCTCTTGGCTTTAATCTGGTCTAGCCCTCAACTGTCGTGGGCATTTGGCAAGTACACCAGAAAATAGAAGCTGTCTGTCTACCTGCCTGTCAAATACACAAATAATTAATGGCAGATGCCTCTGGTTTCACCTTCAGTAACTAAGTCCTTTTTCCTTGGGTTTACTAAATGGAGTATTTGAAATCTAACGTGACAAGGTGGAATCAAGTCTCAATAAAATGTTGTAAATCAAGATATTCAAAGCAGAATCAGGTTAAAAATTAGTGTTTTCAAAATTCATTCTTTCTTAATAAAATTAACTTTTTATTGCATATCTTGATAAGAGTTGCAACCAGACAAAGAATGAAAGTCTATTTGGCACAAAGAATGGTTAATTGTTCATTTCCCCTGAAAGGCCAAAACAGAATGACTCAAACCACTAAAAGCGTTTACTACAAAAATGGCCAAAATCTGATTTAATAACTCTAAAATTGTTCTTAAGACTGAGGGCTGAGATGAATATTACAGAATGTAAACAAAATTTTACTTTTCTTTCTGAAATAAAGGTTTGGGATGCTTCCAGAAGGTAATGTAAATTTTGATGATATCTGTACCAATCTATTTTGTTTCTATTTAAAATTGCTTTAGGATTGTGTAATGTCCCCAGTGTCAATCATTCTGTGATCGTAAAAGAACTAGCACCATTTCAATAAGTTTCATAGATAGTCTAGCTAAATACACATGAACAAATCACACATGGTCAAAACAAAAATATAATAAAAATATTTAGTGAAAAGTCACATTTTAACTGCCATTTATGGACTTAAAAATACAAATAAAATCTTATCAATTTGATATTCAGCTTGTAACTGGCTCAATACATAGCCTTGGCATGTTCCCTAAAATTGTACTGAAGCATCTTTTTGAAAAGTTAAATGCAACTTTATACCTTCATTAGTTATATTAGAGGTAAATAGTTAAACAGTACACTCATCCCTGGGTCTCTTAAAAAAACTGGAAAATCTTAGTGTAAGTTTCAAATTTTAATAATTATAAATTTAAAAATTTTACACGTGCTGAATGATAGCAGTGCTATAACATTTTGTGACCATTAAACCACAAACTCACTGCATAGAGCATCTTTCTTTTTACAGAGAATCAAATCACAATACCAATATTTGCAATGTGTCATAATTTCAGGTGGTCAAAGACACCACACCAGGAGGCCTAGGCTCAAAGCACACTGGAGGTCAGATCCCCAGGAGGTACATAGTGCAGATGCAATATTCAGTCTCAGGCCAGGAAAATTAGTTGTTGGTACATGCCTGACAGCTCCTAACAGCCAACAGGCCTAAAATGCAGATGGAAAAGGAGAAAACAAAACCTCCCCACTGCTGAGGAGGCCTGGGATAGGTGGACAGTGAGCCACAGTGGGCGAGGAGGGGACAGATGGCTTGAGCTGTGAGCCTCGTGGGTGTAATGCGCAAGCCACACCTCTCAGGTTGTTCTAGGGAATCACCACCAAAGCTGGGTAGAATGTCCCAGTCTTTACAAAGACTTCTGCATAGAGACTAGAGGCCAGCAACAAATTTCTTAATTCATTCTCTTTAAAACAGAACAGATGGCCATTATAAGCTTATATTTTTACCTGAACCAAATATATTCTTTGGCTAAATATGTCAAGGGTTCCTATTATAATCAATCAGGCAAATTTCAATGTTCCTTTTTATTTTCAACTAAAATATGTTTAAAGTTCAACTTGAACCATGGCACTTCATAGCAATTTGAGCTCAGCTATATGCTTAATTTCCACATTTTTAAATTTTAGAAAATCAATTTAAAAGAATTCTTAAATGCAATGTTTTCAGAACATGGATACCAAGGCAGATGATATAAAAAATTTAAAACATAATTATAGCCTCAAATCAGCTATATTATTTTGCAGAAAAATTTACAGGAAAAATGATAAAGTTAAAACCTCATATCCAAATCAGTCCTTAATCTGGTTAAAAAAAAACACCACCACCCTAAGAAGTATTGTGGTTCCTTCTAACTTGAAAGGTTAATATTTTACTCAGGAACCAATGGGACCGTCAGTGACAGCTAACTTAGTAAGGTCTAATCATAACCACCTCTAACAACAGAGGTGACAAACAGAATACAAGTAAAAATGTAACAGAGAAAAATAGCATTTTCAGGGTTCAACCGAGACAGTACACTTAGCAACTCAAACTTAAACTCTTTGAAATGGACAGCTAGCTCCCTTCAATACTTGAGGGGTTCATAGAAGTATTAACAGAAATGGGAAACATGATAGTATTAGGACTAGAAAGACTCGACATTTTTGATCAAAGAGAAAGTTCAATGAAAGAGACAGTAAGAGGAGTGTTAAATAATGCTGACTGGGGAAATGCTTGTTTTTTAAAAGAAAACTGTATAAAAAAATAACCATCTCATCTGAACAGAGTAGTGTAATAAACTTAGATACAGTTTACAATGTAATGATTGAATTCTTAAAATTTGTTTTTTTTTTTTTTTAAATCCTGTAAAGTTTGTTTACATAAAATGTCACACTTATACCAGACAAAAACCTCAATTCAGTGATGTTACCATGCCACTCTCTCCCAGTTACTGTGTTGGAAAGGCAATTATCAAATACCATCAAGTGGTTTAGCGACCCAGGCAGCCGCTGACCCAGCACAAGGACCACAAAAGCAAATTAACTCTTTTAGCAGAGTTCCCAGAACATGTTTACAGGGGCTGTTACATCAATGCAAATTGTGAAAAGAACAAAGTTCTTAGAGATGGTACCCTGGGATTCTTAGATTATTACTTGGGAAGCCAACAGGTCAATGAAAATAAAATGAGAAATAAATTGAATAAAGGATGTATGGAAAACTAGAGAATACAGGATACTATATGAACAACAGAAATTGTATAAGACACAAAAACCTAAAAATCAAATATTGATCATGTCCCTTTAACATATATAAAAAAGGGCAAGAATGTTTGTCTTGAACAATCTTTTGACAACAGTTTTAACAGTGAAAATCAATTTTCTAGAATTAAGCCAGTGTTTTTGATACCCACTGGGCCAAGAGCATTAAGAAAAACAAAATAGTGCACATAGCTAAAGACAAACTTGACCAAGTAAAAGATCCACACAAATATCCAAGCAGGCAAACATATACACCAACACCCTGAAAACAGGTTAGCCACTACAACTGAGTGGCATCGCCATTACCTACAAAATGGTGGTGGCTCCCCTCCCCCACACCCTAGTTGCCACTGATCAACATGGGGGTGATCTCTTAAATATTATTTGGTCCAACCGGAAGTAAATTTTGTTTTAATTCAAATGCCATGTATTGCAAAATTGTAATAGGATCTAGGCAAATTTAGTAAGTATATTTTTCCACATAGATCAAAGTTGTCTTTTACTTACAAAGATGCCTTTCACTTACCAAGACATTCCTTTCCTACTCCTCTTTATTTTTAATAATAACTTGATTATAGTTTTGTCATAGCCAGTGGACCTATCCACTCTGTTGTGAATTTCAGTGCCCTTTGGCAAAGGGACTATAGTTTTCACACACACACACACACACACACACACACACACCCTACACATATTGAACAAGGCTGAGGGAGCTAGGAAACAAAACACTAAAAACAATGCAAAACAAAGTGATTACTACTGCATATCACTTCAAGTTATTTAAGGAAAAATAGACCTAAAAATAATGCATCATTCAAAGTACTTTTTAAAACAACAACAAAAAAAGCTGTATTTTTCATGAAGAATGCTGTTAGCATTCCTCCTAGCAGTCTTTTAAGATATTTTGCTCCACCTTAAGTGTTACTCAATGGGGATACTGAGAAGAGAAATGTTCCTCAAAGAGTCAACAGCCCTTGGGCCTAGCACTCTTCTATCTAAGGACACATGCACAGTTGGGAAGTGATCGGTGCTCCAGTTCTGATTGCTATAACTGTTAGCAGCACAGAGTTCCAGAACATTCTGACTGCATCGCATGTGAAGATGTATATGCTATATGTGAATCAGTACAAAACTGGATATGCAGGATGTTTTGCAGCCAGGACTGGGCAACACGTGGGAGGAGAACGCCGGCCCCTCCACAGCAGTGAGGGATGCAACTGCGCCGAGACCTCTGCCCGTCACAACGGTGAGCAACTTGGGACTACAGTGGGTGGAGTTTCATATGCCTTAGTTTTCATTTCCATAATTTAAGCTAGCACACAGAATTAAGGGAAGCATGGCAGCAGTAGAAGAATCCTGATTAAAAAGAATAAACTAGAGGATCTAGATTTTTTTTCCATCTCTGAAATTAAATTCACATCGCTCCTATGACTTGAGGGAACACCCACTCTAGCGTCATTATTGCCCCTAATGCCCCAACGTGCAATAGTCCATGTGAATCAGTAATTCACATCCTTTAAAGTAGTTATTGCTTAAGCAAGCCATTCAGAGTAGATATGGGCTGTGTGGCTGGATAGAAACACACTCAAAAAGTTAAGACTACACAGGAATGAGCATTTCATTTCACTCACAAACCCACAAAAACACACGCTCAAGAGGGGCAACAGGTTCGTAGCAGCTAACATCCTAAATCAACTCTGAAGCATCAGAACTTGATTTCTTACCAAAAACAAATCTGCTCTTTTGTATTTTCTTTTTAAAATTAAGGCAATGAAATGGCTACAGTTCCTAAAGTTCTTTTTATGGAACAAAAATATACACGTATTTTCTTCCTCAAGTCCAGGCCTCAGAGTATGATTATAGACCTGTATTACATAAAACCTGCAACACTGGGTTAACATAAAAAAAGAGAGGGAGAGAGTACTAAAAAGAAGCTAAAAAACAACCTGGTGATGTTTTTTCTTTCTGCTGAATTACAAACCTAATCATCAAAGGGAAGAAAAGATGGACAAAACAAAGTCTCTGAAGGATTTTTCAATGTCTCTTGCATTGATTCAAAGCTTTTGGGATGATGAAGGGGAGGAGCTTATTAAAATGAAGACTCTAGGGTCCAACAACCAGAAATTCTGACTCTGAGAGTCCAGAGTTGAGCCCAAGAACCTGCCTTTCCAATCAGCTCCTCAAGTGAGCAGGTGGTCTGTGGACAACAGTATGGAGTGATGCCCAGCGTATATATCCACCTGATATTTAAAAGCGCAAGTTCTAAACTTTGGCTGGCCACCTATGTTTTGATAAAAGGGAAAAAGGCACTGAATATGTATTTCATGGTGCCCATATCTGTTTGCACATATATGGAATTGCATTCAGAAATTTTCAATCACCATTCAAAATCCAGAAGACATACATATGACAGATTGTGGCTAACACCTAACAGCAGAAGCTGATGCAAAGCTGACCTCTCCTGTATCACTGCATTACATAAGAAAGCTGCAGGCTCTCCAAAATCCAGAACGGCCAAATGAACTGAGGAACAGGACAAGACTCAAGTCAACTTTCAGCAATTCAGTGCACTTTGCAGAAAGGATCTAAATTGAGCATAAAGTTTTGTTGTTTATTTTACACAAAGGAGACCACCAACATTTGCCATAAACTCTTCTAAACTCTTTAGGAAGGCCATCTTCTGTTTCCGATCCAGCGTAGGAGGCGTGCTGCTTGCAGTGAGCTTGTTGAAGGCATCTGCTAATCTCTGGTAAATGACTGGGTCTTGCTGACTTGACAGTAATGTTTCCACCAACTCGGAATACTCAGCCTATTAAAGAAAGAAACTATACGTGAGAGTATGTTTTCCCCACAAGGTCATGTGAGTATAGACAGTATCAGTTCTAAAAGGCAAGGGGTGACAACTGTATTTAGTAGTTTACATGTATAGAATATTTACTCCAGGTACTGCTCTCCTCTTTTACATGAGGATCAATTCACTTATTATATGTCACCTTACAGTGAGACAGCACTGTGTATAGTCCCACTTCATAGATGAAGGCTTTGCAGAACAGTGAGATGAAGGGACAGAGCCGAGATCACACCACTGAGAAGCAGGAGTCCAGGCGCTTTGGTTCCTGGAACCATATAATCACCAAGGTTGTGCTGTTCCCTCTCTAAGTTCTCGGAGTACACTATCCATATTTATTTCACATTTTATATATAACATGACTTCTAATAGTTGCCCTGAGGCCTGTAGAGATGTCTTGTCAACCCAGTTCTGGAGGACATCAGAGGATGGCAGGAGGTATGTGAGAGAGGGAGAGGGGAGAGAGTGGTAAAGTATGTTTCAGGGCTTTCTCTAAGTAGAGGCAGAGCACAGTGAAGGCTCTAAGCCAGCACGGTACCTAGAAGTTCTTGGAGAAAGGGCAATACAGGTATATGAGGATGGCAATTTCTACTTTTAAGAACCCCTGTCAATAGACTTACAGGAGTGGGATTGGGTGTGGGCTAAAGGAAAACACAAGCAGCTCGGAAATCAGCTCTCTTGAAAAAAGCTGGTCCGCCATTATTTTTTCATTAGCTTCTTAGGATATCAAGATAAACTACAATGGTGAAACCAGGTATTAATCATTTTTGGGTGCAGGTTCCAAAACCCTTGCCCAATGCATGGAACAAGACCTGCTGCCCTAATTACTCTCTCCAAGGAATAGGCCTGCTCACAGGGGACCAAGTATAGACTCCAATCATTTCCCTACTCACAAGAAATGGTAATGCTTCTGGTGCCAGGCCAGGTCAACAGGGAATCAATCACCCCTTTCATTTCCAGATCCCTGCTGTCTTCCCTACAGCACGCAAATGTTAAACCAATCAACCAACTAACCACAGGGGAAAAAAGCATTCAAAATGTAATGGTTTATACACATGGAGACAAGAGGCCTACATTCCCAGAAGCAACAAGGAAATCAAATGACAGAGGAGGGCCACATCGGACATGGGCATTATCCGTAGCAAGTGGCCACTAAAGTAGACAGCACCCTCAGCTCAGGGCATAAATGGTACAGAAGTCCATAAGTGATGTCTTCCAGTAGTAAGGAAGAGCTCAAAACCCTATCTTTTGGGTGGGTGTTGGGCAAACTAGTTAACACACCACGTAAGACAACAAAGTGCCTGGGTTCAATGCCTGCCTCCAGCTTTGGACTCCAGCTTCTGGATAATAGATACCCTGAGAAACAGTAGTGATGGCTCAAGTAATTGGGTTCTTGCCATCTATGTGGGAGATCTGGACTGTATTCCCAGCCACAGGCTTCAGCCTTGGCTCAGCCCCAGTTGTTGTGGGTATTTGGGGAATGAACCATCTGATGGAAGCCTCTCTTTTACTCTCAAATAAACTTTAAAAAAAAGTTTATTAAGAGAAAAAATTCCTCTTATCATTTAAAAAAAGGAAATTAACATGCCAAAGCTTCTATAGCTAATCACATGGGCAAGCTGGGAGATAACATGTGCACTAGAGGGTGATGGGACTCAGGCAGCATATGATACCATATGCTTCTTCTTCTCACACATTTCAGAGGTACTGTTCTAACAGAATAAGGAAGGGAGATGGTTGAATCGACCTAACTTTCCTTCTGCTACATTAAACGCAATGTACTGAGGCTTTAAAAGGTTCAACAACACAAAGGAAATAATACACGATCTTCTATACTATGCCATGAAATAATATACTGTTCTCCATACTTTCTAAAGGCACACTTCTCCTGGTCTCCAATCTTACTCATCTTTACAAAATTTGAGTTCTTCAAAAATGGAAGCTGCATACTCATTATTCACTCCTGCTTATTCTCCTGGCTCCTAGCATGGTTGTGTAAGTGCAAGCTTACGTGTGAAGATCACTGCAAGGAATGATTCATAATGGTGGGAGAAAAAGAAATGCTTTAACTGATAAATACCTTGTCACATAAACATAGGGAGAGGCAATAAAAAAGCAAAGAAATACTGGTTCAATGAAACAGAACTGAGGCACTGAGTCACAGATCTGCTAAGAACCGAGAACTGTATTATGTATTAATGACCTATCATCTCCGAATGAGCAGAGTCCCATTTGCAAAGAGTGTGTCCAGTACCTGGTGCAAACACACCAACGTGTAGAAAGCTTCACCAGCTGCAGTGGTCATCTCTGTGTTGTGCTTTTGCAAAACCAGCATATCAAAAACCAGCTGAAATGAGAGAATACGACTTCTAAATAAAAATACAGAAAAATAACATAATCTTTCCGCCTCTCGCTAGTATTCCTCACAAAATAAAGAAATTATTTTATCTATTAAATCATCTGAAAAGTTCAGAAAATGATTTTATAAAAACCCAAGGATAATTTAGAGTTATTATTTCCTGTAGTATCTGAATTCAAATTATCAAATTCCCCATTAGAAAAATAGAAAATCAATATTCAAGAGAACAAAAGTGAATGAGAATGATGTGTCCATGGAGAGTTGATCTCCAAAAAAAAGTTACTAGAAAATAATTAATTCCATCTTTATGGAAGAATATAAGCATTTTCAAATTTGAATGTTGAATTATGTGCACTGTCATACTTATCTTAGATAATTTTTTGACCTATCATTCAAACATCTTACCTTAAGAAAGTGCCGTGTTGCTAGAAAAAGCGGTGAGTCTGTTTCTTGTGCTTTTGCACACTGTTCAGCTAAGGGTGTCAAGGCCTCCAAGCAAAGCTGGCAAACCTCCGAACTCATTCTGATCACAAAGGTCAAGGATCAAATGAGACTGGCTATATCTGACTTATAAAAGATCAAAAAACTATAGCTAGTATGAAATGAATTACAACTTACAGAAAACTCAACAACAGTATATGACACTACTAATTGGAGCCTTAATGAAGGAGTGACTTTAGTAACTTGGACCAAAACCATAGGGGTTTATAAAGGAGGACAGCCCAAGGCAAACCAATAGAAGAAACACCTAACTGGGGCAGTTACAAAGCTAGAAGCTCTATGGTAAAAGAAAGCTGAGCCACAAAAAAGAAATACAAATTTAAAATAACTTTTCTTTAAGCAAGATCTTTCCCCCCAAGTGATAACAATGTTCATTTAAAGGATATGATGTCATTCCTAGTTCTAAGGAGTACATCAGACTTTTAAACAGATCCTCAGGAAGCTGTGGTATTTTTTCAGGAAAAATCTCACAGATAAATGTGATTAATTTATAGTATTGATTACAAAGAGTTGGAAACTGAAAAAGAAGTATTAGATACAGAGATGATCAATATTATGTAATTCTTATTTTCATTAATGCAATGAAATAAATTGACAGGCTTTTAAGTATTTCTTTAAAATGTGTACAAAATATAGAAAACAAGACTTAATTAAATGCAAATATAAATTACAATAGAATAGTAACTAAAGTAATAATAAAGTAATACTAAGGGGTATAAATAATAAAAGTAATAAATAATATAAATACTAATAAAAAGTTATAATCAGTAGAAATTATATCTTCTGGATAGTTAATAAAATCTCCACATACAGTCGACTAAACTTCCTTACTATAATATGGTTTCTGTATGAATGCTTGGCTCATGGGTTGTCAGTATTGTTCCAACGGTTGAGACATTTCTCAAGGAGAGAAGTGTATGGTTATATTCTGCTATTCTGGGAATCTAAAAACACTCTTATTCTTACATTCTGCTTCCAAATGTTTCTTGACAAGTCTCTACTCCCTTCCTCCCTCTACCTCTGCTCCATATTTCATGTGTACAAACACATGCATACACACAATCTTTTCCTCTCCATCTATGTTCTTGTCTCCACCCCAAGGACAACTCATGCCAAAAGACCTCCTCTCCCCAGTGGTACTTATGGGAAGAACAGGGCAGCCTCACCATCACCACGCCCTCAGTAATGACTGGTGACAATCACACTCAATGTAGTCAGAAGGTGCAAAAATCTAAAACTGCATTACTATTAGTTTCTTACCATTCCAATTCTACATAGAGTGAGACTGGGCAAATGCCTGTGTCTGCTCAGTACCTCAACTTGAGAAAGAAGTTCAAGAAGTACTGGAGGAAAACACCTAGGCACATGACTTATTTATTCGCCTAATGACAAAAAATGACAGAATCAAAAGTGCTGGAAAAACTCAGTTTCTAAAAGGAAAAATTTTTTTTCTGTAGCACTGGGTCCGTGTTAATGAGAAGCAACCAGAAGTAAGTACAACAGAAGTGTAAAAATCTTATTTTAATGCACACTCAATAGACACAAGTTACTCATTAAATCAGAGGTATATCTGTGTCTTAAGATATCCCTGAACATCCAGAATACGTAGAGAGACTCAATGTTCACACTCACTTTCTTGACTTACCTTCAAAAGATCCTGTGACATCAAGGGCAGAATTAGGTTTACTCCATACAGCACAACATCAGCTGCTGATACAGATCTATTTGCTGCTTGCCCTGGCTCATGACCTCTAAACACTTCATCTATTAAAAAAGACAAATTATGCAGTCTTATGGCGGTACATCAATGAATCTCCTACGTTTATATTCTACTTTGATAAAAATGAAAATAAATTCAAGCCCCAAAGCACATTTGGTCAGTCGCCAAATGCACACAAAGGCAAGGGCTGAGCCAGGCTGTGCTGGGAGACAGGGACTCAATTTAGGTCTCTTATGTGGGTGGCAGGGACCCAAGTACTTGAGCCATCACCTGCTGCCTCCTAGGGAGGAATTTGTAGGAAATACTGTATCTAATAATGCTGGACTGGGAGCAGAGCTGGGAGCTGAATCCAGGCACTCTGATGGAGGACATGGGTGTTCCAACCACTGCCTTCACTGCTGTGTCAAACACCCACCCATCCACTCTAGGTCTAAACTGAGCTGTGGCTTCCTTTCGCCATAGCGTTTTTAGGTCTTCACACTCTTAGAAAGTCTATGGAAGAGTTTCCAAGAGTCTGCGAGCCAACTAGTACTGAATGTGAAACTCCACTGGATAGTATAACACATTTTTTGAAGGCGAGACACATCTGGCCTAGAAAATGCTAAAAATTCCTAGACTAAGAAACACCAAACTGAAACAACTGGAAGACCTGAGGAAGATGCATTCTGAAAGACTCGGTCTGAAAACAACAGAAAGCATCCCACTAAGGGAAAGTTTGGACAGTGCTTTTCAAGCCATTCACCTCAATATCCCTAGTTAACTGGATAACCCTTCTAAATTGTGTAACTGATAGTGCTTATCGCAGGCTAGACACCGGAAAAAAAATGGTGGTTCACAGAATAAGGAAAATGAAGCAATAAATGAAAGTGAGAAAAAACAGTCATAGATTGGGTACAGCTGTGGTAGAGGACTCCCAAGGTCAGACAAAAAAAGAAAAAGAAAAAGAAACTTACCCTAGAAATGGAATGTGGTCATTATCTGCTTGACTATGAATAACTGTAGTTCCTGTCTGCTTCTATGTAACCATTTCAGGTTCTGCTTGCTTGCTAGTACAACAATGGTATTAACCGATGCCAGACAGCATCCAGATCAGTATGTGTGTGGAAATATCAACAGTAACTATGCACCAAAGCACAGTACTGTATCAATTTCTGTGGCTACCATGTAACATCAGAATACTCAATCAACCAATTGGCGCTGTGGCATAGTGGGTAAAGCTGCCGCTTGCAATGCTGTCATCCTATATGGGCGCTGGTTCGAGTCCTGGCTGCCCAACTTCCGATCCAGCTCTCTGCTATGGCCTGGGAAAGCAATAGAAGATGGCCCAAGTCCTTGGGCCCTCGCATCCACATGGGAGACCAGGAAGAAGCTCCTGCCTCCTGGCTTTGGATGGGTGCAGCTCTGGCCATTGCAGCCAACTGGGAAGTGAACCAGTGGATGGAAGACCTCTCTTTCTCTGCCTTTCCTTCTCTCTCTGTGTAACCCTGATTTTCAAATAAATAAATCTTACCAAAAAAAGCCCACTCAAATGTATGCATATAGTCACATAATGGAGACACGGAGGCTAAAACCATATATAAGGAAAGACTCCCTCTCTGTTCAGGGCTCTTTTTGGGTAAGAATCCAATGAATGTGGCAGCATAATAAATTCAGACTGCTTCCTGGCGCTGGCATCTCCTCTCTGTTCACGAATCCCAGTACACATGGAGTTGTATAGAACTTTACAAGTAAGAAGTAAAAAATGTTGGCTGGCGCCATGGCTCAATAGGCTAATCCTCTGCCTTGTGGCGCCGGCACACTGGGTTCTAGTCCCGGTCGGGGCGCCGGATTCTGTCCCGGTTGCCCCTCTTCCAGGCCAGCTCTCTGCTGTGGCCAGGGAGTGCAGTGGAGGATGGCCCAGGTGCTTGGGCCCTGCACCCCATGGGAGACCAGGAAAAGCACCTGGATCCTGGCTCCTGCCATCGGATCAGCGCGGTGCGCCGGTTGCAGCGGCGGCCATTGGAGGGTGAACCAACGGCAAAAAGGAAGACCTTTCTCTCTCTCTCTCTCTCTCTCTCACTGTCCACTCTGCCTGTCAAAAAATAAAAAAATAAAAAAAAAAGAAGTAAAAAATGTCTACTATCATGAATGCACAAAATACAAGAAGAGGAGCAACCGGGACTAGAACCCGGTGCCCATATGAGATACCGGTGCTGGCCCCGAGGAAGAGATTCTCAACATATTCAGGGGAAGCCAGTTGGTGTGAAGCAGTGGGTTAGGCCTCCAACATCCCACATTGGAGCACTAGTTCAAGTCCCAACTGCTCTGAGTCACATCCATATCCCTGCTAATGCAGGCATCGGAAGATAGCACAAATACCTGGGACCCTGCCACCCACCTGGGAGACCCAGCAAGGTTGCAGTCTACTACCTTTGGCCGGGCACAGCCGCAGTCATTGCTGCTATTTGGGGAGTGAACCTGTGGATGGAGCACTCTCTCACACAATCTCTGTCTCCTCCTCTCTCTGTATCACTCTGCCTTTTAAATACATAAATCACAGATGTTTTAGGGGAGTTGATATTGAAAGAAAGGGGAGAGCTGGGAGAGGTATTTGTGGGGACAGCCTGTGTGGTCTCCCAGGTTTTCAGATCAGCAGCACTTCCCCCTGTCTGCCAGTCTAAGAACTATGTTAAGCAGTGGGGAGAGAAGGAAGTTGAGGGAAACTGTCCAAATAACTCAGATTTTAATTACTGATTAGGTTCTTGCCTGTAGCCACAGCTGTGTTTTACCTACTGACTACCTGGTGCAAGGTCCTTTGGCATTCTGCAGCTGATTCTAACGATCTTTTAAAAGGCCTTTATGATTATGATGCCCTTATTACTAGTCAGTAAAGGTGCAAGTAAGCTTATTGATTCCTCCACATCATTTGTTGGTGAGCCTCTCGGTTCGATCTTCAGAGTGTGACCCATCAACCCCACAGCTCAGAGTTTTCTCCCCAAGAGGTTTCCAGGCTGCACTTGGGAAACTGCCAGGTTTTGCTGGGGAGGCCACCTCAGAGGACTGATTAGTCAATAAAGCGTAACTCAGAAGAGACTGGTGTCTGCAGGCACACACTGGGATTTGAATCCTATCCTGCAACAATGTACCAGCTTTGCACTTGTGGGCAAAGGATTTAACCTCTCCATGCTTCTGCCTCCTTACCTACCAAGCACAGCAGCAATGTACCTACTCCACATCACTGTGAGAAGTCACTATCATTCTTTTTTTTTTTTTTTTTTTTTTTGACAGGCAGAGTGGATAGTGAGAGAGAGAGACAGAGAGAAAGGTCTTCCTTTTGCTGTTGGTTCACCCTCCAATGGCCACCACGGCTGGCGCACAACGCTGATCCGAAGGCAGGAGCCAGGTGCTTCTCCCGGTCTCCCATGGGGTGCAGGGCCCAAGCACCTGGGCCATCCTCCACTGCACTCCCGGGCCACAGCAGAGAGCTGGCCTGGAAGAGGGGCAACCGGGACAGAATCTGGCGCCCCAACCGGGACTAGAACCCGGTGTGCCGGCACCGCTAGGTGGAGGATTAGCCTATTGAGCCGTGGCACCGGCCCACTACTATCATTCTTACAAGAAGGAGGCCAAGCCTGTGGTCCCCACCCTCACTTCAAAGGGATGTACTTTTATTTGTTTACTAAACTAAATTTCCTCATAGCATTTCACTTAAAGAAAACAATCTTTAAATAAAATGACAGTAACAACAAAGCCACATTTAAACACTACCACACTAGCCTTTACCTGTATCACTGAAATCTATGAATTCTTTTGACAGAAGGTTAGTAAGAAGTTCCATAATGAGAAGTAGGTCTTGGTATTGTTCCTCTTCTGCTGTAACATCTATTCTTTGCCGCCCTAAATTATTCTTAGAATAAACTTGCAACAATGTAAGGCAGGCTTCATATAAGTTCATAGCTTTGGACTGTAAGAAAACATGCATAAATTATACAAATTGGTAAATTCAGGTGGCAAACAAATATACACACTAAATTCTAAAAATATAATGCAGGTAAATTTACTCAGTTCTGGTAGCAGCTTTAATTCTTGCTTGAAACAGTAAAACATTAACAATAAAAAGTACCTATTACAAGCATAATTATGTTTAAAATATTGCCATTTTTCTAACAACACAATTTTAGGGCAAGATGTTTACTTGTTCACTTTTTTATTTGAAGGGCAGACAGACAGAAAGACATAGAGACAGATCTTCCATTTACCGGTTTACTCTCCACATATCCATAAAGGCTGGGGCTGGGTCAGGCTGAAGCCAGGAGACTGGAAGTCAATCCAGGTTTCCCCACATGGATGGCACGGACCCAAGTACTTGAGCCATCACCTACTGCCTCTCTAGGAACTGTATTAGCAGCAGACTGGATCGGAAGTGGAGGCAAGATCTGATCCAGACATTCTGATGTGGGATGTAAGCAGAGGCTTAATATGCACCATAAGACCTGCCCCTAGGGCCAGGATATATATTCATTCAACACAACTTTCTTTGAATTCTGAATTTTTACTAACAGTCTTTTTGAGATGTTTCATAGGAATAAAAATATTTCAGATAATATTCATTAAAGTAAAGCATCTGTAATTTTATTACGTCTTCAAAAAGTGAACTCTGAAGGGATAAAATTAAAAAGTGCTTACCTCCCCAAGATAGCATATCTGTTTATGTGCAACTTCAACAAAAACTTCTATAATGAGATTAACAGTCTCGGGAGTATTTTTGTAAACTTCCATCAATCCAATGCAATTGGTAAGGAAGTCCATTAAAAAATTAAAAAGGATTGCCACGTTGTCAATCTGGGTAGCCTCGGCAATGCCACACAGGGCCTCCAACGTGGCAGTGATCTCCTGCTTGACTTCCTCTTGCTGGCACATCTGCTGAAAGTTTTCTTGGTTTATCACTCGTAAAAATCGCTGTTGAAGAGGCTGAAGAACCTAAATAAAACAGCAGGAATTATCTGACAGTTCAATTTACATGCTCTATTTATTTCTTTAACTTGGAAAAATGTTCACTTTCCAAACATCTGTAATTGCTAGAGGCAGGAAAAGCCAGGAGAACAAGGAATTTGTATCAGCTCATGACATTCCTTACTGTGAGGGTCATCATAACTGCTGGCACACATAAAGAAACGACATGTAAGCCTGAGGAACATGGCTTTCCTGAAGACATTCACAGATTTCTTCTATGGGGGTCCCCCACCTCGAAAGTGATTAGCAAAAAATAAAATATTAAGCCTCCACAACAGGTGTCCACAAACTTTTATTTTCTATAAAGGGCCACACAGTAAGTATTTTAGACTTTATCCTGTGCTATGGATAGCCACAGAAAAGATATAAACAACTGAGTATGACTGCTTCAATAACATCCATGAAAACAGAACAGGCCACATGTGGCCCATGGATTGCAGTCTGCCAGCCTCTCTTCTACAAGGTCAAGCCCAACACAAAGCTCTTCCCTACCTTGCACCCCCACGCCTTTCACCAATTTCTCTTGGCATAAAATAGAACTTGGGATAAAAAGCCTTGTCCTGTGTATAGGAGCGAGTACTCATATTCATGATGCCAGTCTCAATAAAATTTAGTTACCTACATGAAAATACCATTATTTAAAACAGGAATACACAGTCAGCCTGTATCTCTCCAGTTTTAAGTCATGACTGCTTCTGTTCCCACAGCTCTCTCAGCCATCAGGAGCAGCCTGCACACACACTGGTGACCCTGGGTCACTCATTTCAAGATGACAATATAACGTGTCTGCGGTGGTTGTTACAGGTTGAATTGTGACTACTCAAAATTTGTTAAGTGTGAATTTGAATCCTTAGCACTTCAGAATATGGAAATGCAGTTATTGCAGATATAATTAATTAAGATGAGGTCATACTGCAGTAGAGTGGGTCCCTAATCCAATGTAGCTAGTGTTTTATAGAGAGGAAATATGGATCGTAGACATGTACATGGGGAGACTACCATGTGAACATGAAGGCTGAGGTTAGGGTGATGCACCTACAAATCAGGAATGCCAAAGATCACCAGCAGAGGGCCAGTAGCTAACAACTGCCTCACAGCCCTGAGGAGCAATCAACTCTGCTCATACCTGTAGAATTCTGAAAAACTCCATTCCTGTTGTGTAAGACACTAAGTTAGAAGTGTTTTGTTATAGCAGCCTTAGGAAATGAATTTAGTGGCTAATTTTTACCTCCTTATTCAAGGGAAGAACATTTAACTATTTTTTTCATTTGCTTATATTTGAAAGGCAGAGAGACGTAGAGAGATCGCCCATTTGCTGGTTCACTCCCCAAAAGCCTACAGCGAGGGCTAGGCCAGGCAGATGCCAGGAGCTAGGAATTCAATGCAGATATCCTGCATGGGGGCAAGGGACTCAAGTACTGCAGCCATTACATGCCACCTCTCAGGGTGTGCATCAGCAGGAAGCTGGAACGGAAAGCAGAGGCAGGACTCTTAAACCAGGCACTCCATTTTGGGATGCAAGGATCCAAAACAGTGTCTTTTTTTTTTTTTTTTTTTTTAATTTGAAACAGTTACAGAGAAAGAAGGATGAGAGGAAGAGAGATCTTTCTTCTGCTGGTTCACTCCCCAGATGGCCACAACAGCCAGCATTAAGCCAAGCTGAAGCCAGGAGCCAAGACCTTCTTCTAGGTCTCCCACTTGGGTGGCAACGGGCCAAACCCTTGGATCAGAAGTGGAACAGCTGGGACACGAACCAGTCTTCATGTGGGATGCTGGTGTTGCAGGTGGCAGCTTTACGACTACGTCACAATGCCAGGTCCCCGAAATGGAGTCTTGACTGCTGCACCAAACGCTTGTTCCTCCAGAGATGCTTTTTTTTCTTTCATTTTTGACAAAGTATATTCAATTAGTAAATCACCTTGGGTCATACCGAAATTTTAACAATATTAATTTATTCACACATGAACATGGGGTACCTTCACTGATCCTTAATGCAGATTTAATAGTGAGTTGAGGGGCCAGCACCTTGGCACAGTGGGTTAATCCTCTGCCTGTGGCGCCGGCGTCCCATATGGGCGCCGGTTCTAGTCCTGGTTGCTCCTCTTCCAGTCCAGCTCTCTGCTGTGGCCCGGGAGGGCAGGGGAGGATGGCCCAAGTGCTTGGGCCCCTGCACCTGCACGGGAGACTGGGAGGAAGCACCTGGCTCCTGGCTTCGGATCAGCACAGCTCCAGCCATTGCAGCCATTTTGGGGGGTGAACCAACGGAAGGAAGTCCTTTCTCTCTGTCTTTCTCTCTCACTGACTGTAACTGTACCTCTTAAATAAACAAACAAACAAATAAATAGAGTGAGCTTGGAAATTATGCCTAACGCACATTACATCTGGTAATAACCAAGGTCAACACCTGAGCAAATATGGACCAACTGTAAACTAATAAGCTTCAAATTATGCATAAAGAGGCAAAATTATCAAAAGAGCTACTAGGACTGAAACGTGCCTGCTCACTGACTACTTCATGGCAACACACAGATAAAGCAAGCGAAGGTGTACAACAGGGTGCAATCTAAATAGAGGGAATCATTACCTCTGTCCAATACTGCTGTTTGGTTTCTGTGTCCATATGTGCAAAACCTCCTAAGACAAGAGCCTTCATCAGGGTCCTCTGCACGGGACTCGACAAGAAATTTAGAGGGGGGCTTCGACTTGCAAACTGCTTTGCTAGGTTCCACCAGTTTTCACACTGAATTACTAAGTTTGCCCTGCCAGTAGAAATAACAAAGCATAAGATGCATTACCTTCATTATATATATGACTATACTAATAAAACAAAAACAACTTTAAAAGTCTAGTACAATGAACTCAGTGATGATTTACAGGATACTACAGGACTCTGTTCCAATCCCACCACGTCACTCAACAACGTAAAATGTATGAAATCTCTTAATCATCAGTTTTGTAACTTGCAGAGTAATAAAAACCCTAAATCTCACAACTGAGGCTGTTATCATGGTAAATGAGGTATTACATAAAGAGTGCTTACAATAAAAACAGTAACTTAAAGGATTTAACAAAGAGTAGCAAGTCACTACAGTACTAATAACAATATTAAAAACATTCCTGGAATTTAGTATCAGTTTTTCTTTTCTTTAAAATAGGGATAAGACTAAAAGGATGCCTGTGGGGAGCAATCCAGACTAGACTGAGTTACTGGAATTAAGACTTATTCTATGCATCTGCTCTCCCACAATATGGCGCTGGGAGAGAAGTAAACAGCTTCTGCACAGCTGCCTCCAGTTCAACCAATTAACTGTAGGACTTGCTCCTGATTGGAGGAGAGCAGCGTACTCGGCGTGTGGGCAGCCGAGTTGGGATTGGCGGAGGAGGACTATAAAGGAGGAGAGAGACGGCATGCACCGGGAACATCTAGTTGAAGGAACACCTGTGCAGCCCCCAGAGAGCCGGCCGGCGGTGTGCCGCTCCCCTGCAGAAGTGGGGAATGTGGCCAGGGGGAACTGCCCTTCCACGGAGGTGGAAGGGATAGTAGCCAACCCGGGAAGAACCAGCAGCAAACCCGGGGAGGGCCGAGCAGACGAAAGAACAGCGCAGGGTTTAGTGTCATTCCTCCACGAAGAGGGGGAGCGACAATGCCCAAAAAAGCAACTGAAAATATTCTATATGAAAGAGTTTTTTAAACTATAAATTACTAAATAAGACTCTGGGGCCAGTGTTGTGGCTTAGCAGTTTAAGCCACCATCTGCAGTGCATCCAATATGGCACTGGTTCAAGTCCTGGCTGTTTCACTTGCGATCCAGTTGCCTGCTATTATTGATCCCAGGAAATTAGCAGAGGATGGTACAAGTCCTTGGCCCCCCGCACCCACATGGGAGACCTGGAGGAAGTTGTTGGCTCTTGGCTTTGGCCTGGCCCAGGCCTGGCTACGGCAGCCATTTGGGATGTGAACCAGCAGATGGAAGATATTTCTCTCTCTTTCTTCCTCCTTCTGTCTCTATAACACTACAGTTCAAATGATAATAGTAATAATAATAAATATAAATAAGACTCATATGCCAGGGCTGGTGTTGTGGCACAGAGGGTTAAGCCACCATATCAGCATTCCACATGGGCACCAAATGCTTCACTTCTGACCCAGCTCCCTGCTAATGTGCTGGGAAAGCAGTGGAAGATGGCTCAAGTGCTTGGGCCACTGCACCATGTGGGATGTAAGGTCACCACAAAACACACCAGAGACCCGGAGGAAGCTCCTGGTTCCTGGCTTCAGCCAGCTGGGAAGTGAACCAGCAGATGGAAGATCTCTAAGGCTATAACTCTGCCTATCAAATAAATAAACATTCCTAATAATATTAAGTGTCACTCATTAGGTTTTTTTTGGTACCAAATCCTGAACAGTCAAAACAAGATTAATTACAATATGAAAAAACTCTATTTGTATCTGTAACAATTGTGTGATATAGTTTTAACATACACTACTCCAAAACTGAAGAATCTAACTTAAAACCGAGTAAACCAGTTACCAGGCAAGAAGATCACACCAGAAAGCAAACAGAAGTTCTCTCTCTCTCTCACACACATATACACACACACACTCACACATATACACACAGAGTCTGCCTCCAACAACTTAGACTCACCTTTCTCTTCGTTCCACCAAAGTGACAAGGAGCTGTACAGTATCATTTGCAAGGTCCTGCTCACTACTCCACACTGAGAGGTTACTGATGACTTTTTGTAAGAGGTAGCCAATGATCCACTGAGAACCCTCGGTATCTGCTCCAAATGCGGTACTGAATGGCAAACTTATCTTAAGAGAGAAAATAAATGTTTTACGGTCAGAAAGAAAAACCAGGTGAAAGAATACTTCATAAAAAATTATCTAAATCTGTAGTGGTTAGTTCAATTTTATAAATGTATTATTTCTACAAATCCAAAAAAAGGCATCCTTAATCCACTCAACATTTTCCAATGTGATTTTTCTGTCAACCTTAATTATTCTCATATTACTAGTATACTAATTTGACATCTAAACAATATTCAAAGAATATAAATCAATCTATTTTCAAATAGTAATCTCTAACTTAACATTAGTTAAGATAAACTTAATCCAATGATGGGCTCTAAGGAAAATTATTCTAGGGGCCAGTGCTGTGGCGTAGCAGGTAAAGCTGCCACCGGCAGCACAGGCATCCCATATGGGCATCAGTTTGAGTCCCAGCTGCTCCATCTCTGATCCAGCTCCTAATAAAGCACATGGGAAGCAACAGAGGATGGTCGAAGTCCTTGGGCCCCTGCACCCATGTGGTAGCCTTGAAGAAGCTCCTGGCTTTGGATCAGCCCAGCTCCAGCTGTTGTGGCCATCTGGGGAGTGAACCAGCATATGGAAGATCTATCTTTCTCCACTTCTCTGTAACTCTGCCTTTCAAATAAACAAATAAATCTTAAAATAAAACAGTATTCCATTCATAAAATTCTCTTCAGTGTAGAAGCTGATCCAATTCTTAAAGTTACTTTCTCTTGAGAAAAGCTCCCAAATGTTCAGACTTCTATAATTTCATTATAAACACAAATGAAGTTGAACAGTTTTACATTCTGACCTGATCGTATAGCTTTTCATCCACCAGAAGATAAGTCTTTGCCCAGCGTTTTAGAAACCAAACAATATCTTTGCCCATTTGGGGGCTTAGTAGATGAGTGAGATCTGCTCTTATTGCTCGAGATTCAACTTCTGAAACTCTTAGAACAGCAGATAATAGCCTGTAGATATAAAACAGAAGTCATTTATTTTTTAATTTTTAAATTTTTTTAGTTGTTGTCTAACCCTATTTTTTTCCCTACACATCCTTTTCTGTTTCTCAGCTCGCTGGATTTAGGCCAGGTTATACTTGAAAATATCATCAAAAGGACTGTAGACAATGCCACCTGCTATTTCTGATCTTCCACCAAGGAGGAGACAGGACAAAGAAGGGAGAAACAATGCTAGAGACATCCTTCTGTTGAATTTGTAACCACATGTATGAATTTCAGCATTACTGTCTAAAAAGAATTTATAGACTGAAAATGGAAAAATACATAAAATTACACATTCTAAGTACATGCAAATTTATTTTAGTACTTCATCATTACTTAAATACCCAAGTTAGCAAAATTTGTGTTTCCTATCTTGTTCATGTTATGGCTTAAGAACATAACTGACTTATGTAAATTATAATGAATAGTGAGCCTTGTCTCTAAATCTGATAGTCCTCCTTATTTCCTAATGCATGTGAATCTTTGGTACTTTAAAAGTCTTGCTACAAAGATTACCTGCATTGTCACTTCCCACACAATATAATTCATATGGCTACATGGAATCGATAATGTGGATGACAAGCCCATAAGTAAAAATGTCTTTGTTCTGAGAGAGAGATGGGGGCACATAATCAAAAGTGGTGAATATTTAGCTTGACTTTAGCCCAAAGGCAAAGAAGCAGAGGATGTATTGAGAAAAACCCATCGTGATGCTACACAGTGAGTTACCAAACCAAGACAAAGATTCTAATCACTGAAATCGGGCCTCTACTCCTTTCCCCACTGTTCTCAAGAAGACGGAAGTCTCCTTGTAAAGAAATTGCATGCACATTGGGGTCAGCACTGTGGCATAGCAGGTAATGCCACCGCCTGTGGCAGAATCCACATGTGGGCGCCAGTTTGAGTCCTAGCTGCTCCACTTCTGATCCAGCTCTCTACTATGGTCTGGGAAAGCAGTAGAAGATGGCCCAAGTCCTTGGCCCCTGCACCTGCATGGGAGACCTGGAAGAAGCTCCTGGCTCCTGATCAGCACAGCTCCAGCGATTGTGGCCATCTGGGGAGTGAACCAGAAGATGGAGGACCCCTCTCGCTCTCTGCCTCTCCTTCTCTGTGTAACTCTGACTTTCAAATAAATAAATGTAAAAGTTAAAAAAAAAAAAAGACAAACTGCATGCATGCATCTCAGCTCTTTACCCAGCTGAAGACTCAGTGGCCCCTCACACTGTGGACACTACATCTTATAAAGGAGCTCCTTCCTTCTGCTTCCCAGGCACGTCATTTCCTATGCTCCCCCTTCCATCTGCTTGATCCTTCCCAGTCCTCACTGCAGCCTCCCCTTCTCATCTGCTTTAAATAGGTCAAAACCTCTTCTTTGTTTACTATCCACATATTCTCATGTCACCAACACACAAACCTTTAAAATTTATTTTAGGGCATTTATAAACAAAAAACTGCAACTATCTCATAATACATTAAATTGGTGTGTCAAATTTCTCCCTTAAGATTAAACATTTATAAATACCATTATTAGTCTACCAGAATGTGAAATAAAATGTTTAAATGAACACTTTAGATTTAAGCACTGGTATTTAACCATCAGTGTTCTGACATCCATCATTACACATTTGAAACACAAACTCATTTTTCTTATTTTTATTTCATTTCCCCATAGAGCATTATCCTAATATAACAAAATTTTATATGCAAGTGTTTTATTGATCACATTATCTATTCAAACAAATGTCTACATTGTGAAAGAATTAATTTAAAAACTCTGAATGATTATAAGACTTGTACATATTTAAAAATATCTTCTGCATTGCATTATCAGTATAAGACTCAACAGTACATATTGAACAAAACAACAAATTTAAATAAATTATTAAATACAAAAGATAAATTTTATAAATTTCTTAATGAAACTAACATGGCAGGGTTCTGTTTTCCCCACTTGGTTTATATATCTGTGGATAAAATTACTTATGGCTGGAATGAGCCAGAGTGAAGCAGAATTTGATTTCTATTTTTTAATACACATAACCATTGAGAAAACTTATTCCCATAAATAAACAGAAGGTATTTCCAACACAGCAAAGACATCCAGTTATTTTAATTTCTTCCAAGTCATATCCAGGCTTATATGTAATAGAAATCTACCATCTGACCTTCACCTCCTGGTCACCCACAGTCATTCACTGTCAACAGCACGGTCTGGAACTGCCCCTGACCAGCACTTGTGGGATTTCAGGCACACACCAATCCACAAAACAGGTGTGAGCCTTGGTCTTTTCTTTGGTGGGGAAGAGTGAATCAAAGAGCCACAGAGGTAGTGGTCAGGCAGATGGAGATGAGCCCTCACAGCCTTTCTTCACTCTTTTCATGTCTCCTCACCACCATGCCCAACACCAGCAGCGGCCTCTTTCTATTTTCACTGCACGTCTATTAATGAGCACACTTCCTACCCTAATCAGCCTTGCTGCTTTATAGTCTATCTTCACAGAGCAGTACTTGGAAGATAACCGGATCCGTTCAGTTCCCTACTTCAAGCCCTTTCCATTTTCAGCCCTGCCTCATGCTCTTCCCTGCCTCTGCACCCTCATCTCAGCCTCCTTGCACACACATGGTCACACACAAGCTGTACCAGCCTGGAATGCGCTTCACCTGGCTCTCTACACCTCAGAGTGTAGCACCTCCTTCAGGTGCATTTTCAATCCGTCTCTTCCAAGAAGCGGAAGCTCACCTCTGCCAGTGGATCGGCTGAAGCTAGATGCCGCAATACCCCCTTAGGGCACTCCTATCACATCCTCAGCTCCCCACACAAAGGGGCATTTTGAAAAACCACTGATCAAAGTACTTTCAAATTATTGATATGCCAATATTAATAACCTCAATCTTCCTCCAATCTCTTTCACATTATATCTGGGAATATTTTATATTCCAGACAGCATTCATAGTTCCCCAAATTAATCCTGGATTACATTTGCTTTTCATAATCCAAAAGTTAGCACAATATATCAAACACAGCTTTTGTTAACTTCCCACGATCTCCCCTGCTATCACTCGGGGCTGGACAGTATCACTCTTGGATGAACACAATTAACCTCCTGCGTCCACTGTTTATTCTCAATGCAGCTGCCAGAATAGCCTTTTGACATGGAAGTAACTCTTCTGCTCAAACCCTACAACAGCACCCACTTCATCTAAAGCGAGAGCCAACAACAGTGACAAATGCCCAAAGATCTTATGTGATTCCCCTCTATTTTCCTAACTCCACCTCCTACAAAATCTCAGCTCATCTGCTCAACTACAACAGCATTCCTGGTGCTCCTGAGTATGTCAGGCGTGCCTAGGGCTCCGCTTGGAATGCTGGTCTTCCTGACACCTGTCTGGCCTTTTCTCACAAGTCACCTGCTAACTAGCCTAGATGCATCACATGATGTAAAATCAGTGATCCCTACGCTGTAGGACTTTTTACCCAAATCACTTACTGTCTTCTACTACACTATATAATTTATTTAACTGCTCTCTTCTCTTACAAAGGGCTTTAAGAGGGGGATTGATTTTAACCTGCTTTGCTCATTGATGTATCCTAAATAACTAGAATAGTGCCTGGTATACACAGTAGGTGCCCAATAATTACTCACAAAATGACAGTTTTTTCAAGAAATGTGAATTACTTTTTGAGTCAAATGTTTCTACCACACACCACCAATTTCGCATTAATTCTCTGTACTAAAAAGATGGCAATTTTCTTTTGTTCCAGCCCTCCATATCTGTGCTCTCAGATACAGCAAAGTTTTGCTCCCATACTGACTCCTGGGATTGGCAAAATTCGAAAAAGCACTTAAAATATAAGGAAAGCTTTCCTGATGGTACTACCTAAGCAAAAAATATTACCAAGAACTTATCTTTAACATGAAATGAATTTTTCTTTAAGAATATTCACCACAAACCAAACCAAAGCAAAAGCATCAACTTCCATAGACACTAGATCAACTAACTATAGAAATAAGATACAAAACTTTTTCAAGAGTATTATTGATAAGTAGTGATTTTATTTCAAATGAGAAAGTAACAATAAAGGAAATAAATCCCCAAACATTTCTTGATATCAGCTTAATATTACAAACACTGGGAAAATGCATATTTTCTACTGTACACATTGTTATGATTTCCATTCTTTTGCAGTGAAAGAGAAAGAATGAAGAGGAGAGCACCCTGAGTTACTTATCTGGCAACTGACAAAAACCAATGCTATTCTCACTACTGACACCTCTGCCTGAAACCTGAACTCAAATTAAAGACACTGAAATTCAAAATGTTTTAAATCCACTCTTAGGACATACAAAGTCCAGCTTTTCCCCTCCATAATTTCAACCATTAAGAATTAGTAAGAATACTGCAATTACTCTTAGGAAGAGTAAATGAATTCTCTCATTCGAGGCACTCTGCTGTCACGGAACTGCCTCTGATAGGACTCAAGTTTCACATATTCAGGATAAATACATCCATTTGTTGTGATAAGAACTGTAGTTTTCCTTAAGAAAGCCATTAAAACACAGTTAGGTCTTAGGAATAGTAAGTATTTATTGGTGTTCATCTAGATCCTTCATTTAGGGTGCCTGTGAACACATCAGTACTGTTTTCTGAGGGACAAACATTCTGTTCATAGTACATTAGATCCAATACCTTCCAAGCCTCATTGTGTTCAGAATGTTTTATACTTGTTTCTTTACACTGAATGTAGCTGTCAATTCTCACTACAGTGGCTCTGCCTAAATACACTAAGCACTTGCTATCCTTGCATATTTCAAGGCTTCTTCAAGCTCTTTTAATATCCAATTTACAACCTGCCTAATGCTCCAATAATCTACCCATCAACTCAGAATGTATAAAACAGTATAAATTACAAGAGCACAGCTATAGAGTTCATATTACCTAATCACAGAATCTGTTCTGTTGTACCCTGGGATGGAAGAAGCCTTTTCTCCTGGAGATCCCAAAATTTGAAGTGTTGTATTAATGTCAACTTCAGATGAATGCTTAATGGAATATTCCATTATTTCTGGAGGTATTAGCGGAGTCTCTCCCTGAGTATCATCAGCTAAGAGGTAGCCTTCAGTTTAAAAAAAATTAAAAAATGAACACTTAACAAATCTACATTTATCAAAAAGCACTATAAATGTTTTCAGTTTTTATTTGATTTACATACATCATATAAATTGATGTAAAAGTATATTTTAAGTTGGTGAGAAGAAACTTTCTATTTCTCAGATAATTAACCCTCAAAAATATAGAAAAGGACAAAGGATAAATGTTTTATTCACCAATTTTATAATTCAGAGTGAAATGTAAGCTTTTTAATCTACTACCTTTTAATATTTTTCAGTAATATATTCTGAACCATTAAAAGGAATTCTGTTATCATTATCTACATCAGAAGGGGATACTGAAGAATGCCGTTTCAAAAGTCAAGATTTTTTTCCTGATTATTTGAAATACAGAAACACTAACAGTATGATGGCTAAGGAAGAAGACCCTAGAAGTCAGACTGCCTAAATTTGCATTCTGGCTCCAAAAATTAATAGCAGTGTGACCACAGGCTAGTTTCTTATACTCTCAGCTTCTTTATCTGTAAGATGGGGATATTATTGAAGACAACAATAATAAAAATACCTAACAGTACCAACTCAGTGGGCTATAATGAGATCCATTTAAAACATTTGGTGTGCAATAGGCACTGAATACATCTTAGCCAGTATTTTCTTAAAAAATGCATCCATAGATCTGTGACATACAACAGCTATATCCAGAATTCATCCAATACTATATATGAACTATTGTTTTAAATATTTGAAGCTTATTTTATGCCTAAATTGCTCAACTGGCAATTACATTTTAAAAGGAAACAACCAACCAACCTGTAACTAAAATAAGCCAGTGAATATCTTCATAGAGATCATCAAGAATTTTGTTGTCAATCGTGCTTGAACCAGGTGAAGCAAGTAATTGTTGCTGATGTCGCTGTAACTGACCATGGAGCCTTGTTACTCTTTCTTCCAATAAACTGAAAGGGGGAAAGAACAATAGCTTCATAAAGTTCAATAAGCAAAGAGCTAGAGCAACTTCTAATTCCCATATAACAAGCAACATAATTTACAACAGGGCAAAAACAGATATACAAAAATATCAAAGTATGTAATTATTTTCATAGCATTATAGGAACCATGATTTATTGTTTATGACATAGAATTAAAACACTGCTTTACAAACAATCAAGTTTTACAACGGCATTTGAAAACTGGTTAATCCAAGTTTTTATTGATATGGGTCAAATCATTTCTCATCCCAGGCTTTCCATACTCTCTCTGCCATCTATGTTGTAGTGCCTGGGCTCCCAACGTATAAGCCAAGGAATGCAATCATGAGTATGTTTCTGTCCATTTGGTCCAGTGTGCTGGGATACAGGGTGGGGGTGTTTAAAGTCTTTAAACACTTTTAAGTGCTCTCCCAGGAATTGTGAATAGAGAGTATTGGCTCCATGGGGTTTCTTTCAACTGTGTGTACCTTGTCAGCAGAGGTATACAGTGTTCTGCAGCAATCCTTCCTAGCATTCCTACACTGGCCAGTTGATCAGAAAACTGGTCTCGATCGTCCTCTTGAAGCTCACTTATTTCTTCTTCCTCACGAGAGGCCACGCCATTGGCAGTCTATCACACATGAAGGAAAAATAATGAGAACACTACCTTTTCCAACAAAACACGATTTCTGGTGGCACTGTAAAGTAATTGCAGCACTGCGTAGGAAAAGGGAGAGCTCGGCAGATGCACCCTCCCAGTGCTGCTATTCTTCTCAAACTGTGCCAAAGAGGAAACTCAGAAGTGAAAGAAGTCGAGCTATCACCCCACAGCACATACTGGCTAACAAGCCTTTGGCACCTACTGCCACGACAAAGACAACACAGCTAACTGCACACCCACAACCCTCCTCCCACACTGGAGGATGTGACTTCTGTCACAGAAAAGATCTGGTAACTTTCAGATTCCCAATCCCCTGGCTACAGGAAGTGCTTGTTATTGCCTGATGACTGAAAGCAGAGTGCATAACTGAAAACTGGAAGGGAGGCGACTACACACAAATCCTACACTGTGAGAACTCATTTAAATGACCAGGACTACTTGTGTTGGCAGCAAACCTTCTGAGGGAGCTTATACTAAATTTCTGGTCTTCTATAATTGGTGATGTGATAAAATAAGAGCCTCTGATAAAATAGATTTTTAATTACCATCTGGCTGAAAACTTACCAAATTCCTTGTGCCATCTGGAGCAGCTAAGTGGCACTGAATATAAGAATTGAAAACTTGAACTGCATGCTGGGTAAAAAAGCCTTTATGGAAATGTTTGTCATCTTGGACCAAAGTCAGCCAGGACTCCAGCAATTTATCATATGCTTCCATGTACACCATGTCATCTTTATCAAGCTAAAAGACAAAAACATTCATGAAACAAATGCCCAGAAAAACAGCATTGTTATGGCATCTATAACAAGAGCCAAGAGTCTAGCAGTTATGCACATGAACTTTTTTAAGTTTTTCCTTTAACAAAGATTATCATTAACTTTTTATTAAACTATCTAAACTCTTTTTTATTTCAATTTAAAAATGCTTAGACAATCTGGAATTAATGTTTATTTAGAATATTAGTGGTTTAACACTTTATAGAATATGTATTTTTCAAATAAAAGTAAAATCAACATTTTTCTGTGATCAAGAAGAAAATGGCCAGAATAAAAAGATGTACTTTGGCGAGCACCGTGGCTCACTAGGCTAATCCTCCACCTGCGGTGCCAGCACCCCGGGTTCTAGTCCCGGTTGGGACGCCGGGTTCTACTCCCATCTGCTCCTCTTCCAATCCAGCTCTCTGCTGTGGCCCAGGAGGGCAGCAGAGGATGGCCCAAGTACTTGGGTCCCTGCACCCGCAAGGGAGACCGGGAGGAAGTACCCGGCTCCTGGCTTCGGATCGGCGCAGTGCCGGCCGTAGTGGCAATTAGGGGAGTGAACCAATGGAGGGAAGACCTTTCTCCTGGTCTCTCTCTCACTGTCTATAACTCTCTCTCACTGTATAACTCTGCCTGGCAAAAAAAAAAATAGAAATAAAAAAGATGTGTGCTTCCTGCAAACTTTAAAAATGATTTTAGGGGCCGGCGCTGTGGCTTAGTAGGCCAAGCCTTCACCTGGGGCTCCAGCATCCCATATAGGTGCCGGTTCAAGTCCTGGCTGCTCCACTTCCAGTCCAGCTCTCTGCTAATGGCCTAGGAAAGCAGTGGAAGATGGCTCAAGCACTTGGGTCAATGTACCCATGAGGCACCTGGCTCCTGGCCATTTGGGGAGGGAACCAGCAAATTAGAAGATCTTTCTCTCTCTCTCTCTCTAGCTGTAATTCTTTCAAATAAATAAATAAATCTTTAAAAAAATGATTTTAGAGAAACTGAAAAATAATGGAAATAGACTGACCTAATCAATATAGTTAGCAATATGTGAAGAACTTGACAGAAGCTTCTAAACAAGAGAGTTCATTTTATATAAAAAGCAAAATTCCATACAAAAGTATTTTCATCAAAAATTTAATAACCACTGATTCAATTCAGAAATATCTAAAGTGTCCCTTCATTAAAAAAATTTTTTTTGACAGGCAGAGTGGACAGTGAGAGAGAGAAACAGAGAGAAAGGTCTTCCTTTTGCTGTTAGTTCACCCTCCAATGGCCGCTGCGGCTGGCGCGCTGCGGCCGGCGCACCACGCTGATCCGATGGCAGAAGCCAGGTGCTTCTCCTGGTCTCCCATGCGGGTGCAGGGCCCAAGCACTTGGGCCATCCTCCACTGCCTTCCCGGGCCACAGCAGAGAGCTGGCCTGGAAGAGGGGCAACCGGGACAGAATCCGGTGCCCCAACCGGGACTAGAACCCGGTGTGCCGGTGCCGCAAGGCGGAGGATCAGCCTAGTGAGCCGTGGCGCCAGCCTCTTCATTAAAAATTAATCAAAAATTTAATGAATATGCTTTATGAACGTGGAAATTAATAGCTTCTTCTCTCCTTTTGCTGTATTTCCATCAGTTAATTTTTCTTCTTACAAAGGAAACATGGAAACTTATAAAAAGGGACAAGCAGACCACCGAAAAACAAAGAAAAGTCAGGTCTCTCATTGTCTAAGTCTCTGATTAGCTCCTCCAAGCCTCCCCATACAAACTACACCTGCATGAGACTCCAATAACAAGGTTATCCTGATAGACACACACCTCAATACAGTCTAAGTGAAATTAGTTATTTACACTTCATTTTCTCCTTTCCTTTCTTGTTCAGTAATGGCTACTGTTACTGAATTAAAGTTTTATACCAAAACTAAGTCACTGAAAAATAAATAAAATCACCAAGCTACTTTGCAGAGACAATTGTGGTAAATATCCCTAAACAAAACTAACATCTTGCTGAAAGGTCATTCTACTATAAAAAGCTACAAAAGCCAGGAGGCTGGATGGTTTGCACATTTAACCAACAAAAGAAATGCCAGTGTACCTGAAACAGATATCCCAGGTCACTCAAGAACACAGGGCAAGGCCTGCAAAAGCAGGCAAGGACCAGACCAAGAGGGCCTAACAGGAGACTGGGTTTGCTTTTGTTTGCTGCAAGAAGTCATTTGGAATACTTTGGGCACCGATGCCACTCTGACACAGCTCTATAAAAGAAAACTTGCACTGCACAGTACAAGGGGCCTGGGATAGACTGGATCTAGTCCTACAGGAACAGTCAACAGGACACACTTACGAAAGCAGAAGTCTGACCAGAAGGAAGACAAAAGCAAGAATGGCACCCATGTTTTTATCCTGAGTAGCTGGGAAGATGGTCTATTTAATATGCTGAGGATTGGGAAAGACAACATGTTTGGGGAAATGAAGGTTTCTCCTTCAGATATGTTCAGTTTGAGATACAATTTGTAATCCAGGTGAAAATGGTGATAAGCTGGGGCTGGCGCTGTGGCGTAGAAGGTTATGCCTCCGCCTGGAGTAATATAATCCTATGTGGGCGCTGGTTCAAGTCCCAGTGGCTCCACTTCTAGTCGGACTCCCTCACAGTGCACCTAGGAAGGAAGTGGAAGATGACCCAGGTGCTTGGATCCCTGCACCCATGTGGGAGACACGGATGAAGCTCCTGGCTACCACCTGGCCCAGGCCCAGCTGTTGTGGCCATTTGGAGAGTGAACCAGCAGATGGAAGATCTTTCTTTCTCTCTGCCTTCAAAAAATTAAATTAAAAAAATAAATAAATAAATAAAAGAAAATGGTGATAGCCAATGTATACCCAGAGTTTCAGGAAAAGGTCACAGCCGGAAATGCAAATCTGGGCACAATCAGCACACAGAACTTAAATATTTATTTTTAAAGTCAAAACAAGGAACATTCGCCTAGAAATGGACAGAATAAGGAACAAAGCCTAGGCCACACAGGAATCTGAGACAGGCATTGAGGAAGGAGAAACGCCAGGAACACGTGGCATCCCAGAAGCCAAGTGTGTGACGATGACAGACAGCTACTCAGAGCAGCAGAGCCACTCCTTCCTCCTGCCTTGACTCTCTACTTTCATCTAACCCTGATTCTCATTTGTAAATTTAAACAGCTTGTTTCATTTTAAAAGCTTTTTTTTTTTAACAAAATACCAGAAATCTTACATGGAACAAAGATGATTATGAAAAAATAGTTATTTCTAAAATTGTTTCAGTTGCTATGACCATTCTTTTTCCTTCTAGGATACAGTTCCTCCTCCACGGCCTCCCTGCTTTATGGAAGAGTGGACTGATCCTGAACAAGATGCCACTTGTAGAGTCCACTGGAAACGAAACTTACTTCCCCTAAGAGTGACTAATGAGCAGAGAGTAACATGATGATTTATAATTTAGCCATAAGAATTTTGCTGCAGCATTATTTAAGCTAGTACAAATAAATTTACTGAACCACATCCACACTGTCTAGGTTAAAAATTATGATTTTGGGGCCAGCATTGTGGTGCACTGGGTTAAGTCACTGCTTGAGACCCCAGCAGTCCATATGGGAACACCAGTGCAAGTCCTGGCTGCTCTGCTTCTGATACAGCTCCCTGGGCCTGGAAAAGCAGCAGAAGGTGGCCCAACTACTCCAGGAATGCATAAAAAACACTGACATATCACAATTAAATTGAATTCAACTCAGAAAAATAATTTTCAATGTTAGAAAAATCTACAGAAGCAATTTACTACATTAACAGGTTAAAGAGCCAAGCATTTAATAATTATCAATATCTGTCTTTTAAAATTTTAATTATTTTAATAGATTAAATGTGATTTATAGATACAATTCTAAGAACATAGTAATATTCCCTTTCATCCCTGCCATCTTCTTTCCTTCTCCATTCTTTTTTCTAATTTTAGAGATAACATATTTTAAATTTACAACAGAGTAAAAACATTTAATAGTTCACCGAACAAGAAGTTTAACAGGTAAAAAAGCAAAAATACCCTAGTTTAGTGGGAATATAGACAATGGCTGTAAACAATATTGAATGGGGGCCAGCAATGTGGCGTAACAGGTAAAGCCGCCACCAGCAGTCCCAACATCCCATGTGAGCACTTGTTCGAGTCCCGGCTGTTCCACTTCCCATCCAGCTCTCTGCTATGGCCTGGGAAAGCAATAGAAGAGAGACGGCCCAGCCTCTTCTGCTAATGGCCTTGGTGAAGCATTAGGAGACGGCTCAAGTTCGTTGGGCTCTCTTGAAACCCCGCATGGAAAACCCGGATAGAGACGTCCTAGCTCTCTTGGCTTCGGATCACACAGCTCGCTATTTATGACAACTGGGGAAGTGACAATGATGAAGACCTCCTCCCTCGGCTCCTTTTCTCTCTGTGTGACTCTTTCAAATAAATACATAAATATTAAAAAAAAAAAAAAAAACTAAATGGAAAGATGACCATTTTACCAATATACAATAAACTTTTAAGTAATCACAGATCATTGAAATTATGGTAGTATAAATTCTTAACCAATGGTTTAACAAAGGTATAAAACAAAGTTTTACAAAATATTTGCAGCAATATTGATACACAAAGGTATTTCTTTCTAATTTTAGATCTCACAGAAAAGGCAGAACATGACCCTTGTCTATCTGGGTCCAGCTTATTGCACTCAATATGATGTCCTCCAGTAGAATCCATTTTACTGCAAATGGTAGCATTTCATTCTTTCTTATAGCTGACTAATATACCATTAATATGCATATAAACATTTTCTGTATCCACTCATCTGATGATGGACACCTTGGTTGGTTCCAAATTCTGGTTACTGTAACAGTGCTGCTAAAAACATGATGGTGCAGATATGTCTTTGATATGTTGTGTTCAAGTTTTTTGGACATAAACCCAGTAGTGGGATTGCTGGATCATATGGCAAGTCTATTTCTAGTT